CGGCCGAAGTTCATTTTACTATTATTATGCTACAATGTTTTCTTGGATAATTTCAATTCAAGACCAATGTGCTCTATCTAGGACTTTATGATATTAGAATTATAATTAAACATTTACCATTTTGACTAGGTGATTATTATATATTTATGTTTCCTTCTAAATGATCTTCCTTTACGGAAGGATGTTTTAACACTATTATCTAATGTTTTTGCTTATAAAAGATACAAGTACTTTTATTTGTTTGTGTGTTTTGAAAACATGTTAATCGAGTTTTAAATAGGTTACATTAATCTCCCACATAAAGATGCAACCCGAAGTGATTTTTTTTCAATACCCGACCCTACCCGATCCGTTCATGCATGGTTTACTAACTTATTCTGCGTACCGCGGGTTGAATAATAGTTAACCCGAACAAATCGGGTAGGCCCAAAAAATATAGCAAACCTGACCCAACCCGCCCAATGTGCAGCCCTAATTCATACTCTTTAATATTCTTCCTTGAGTATTAATTATATCCTATTCATATTTCATATTAATATTTTGAGCATTACTTAAAGGATCAACTAGTTTTGTTTCATATATTAATTATTACTAGAATCAATCGGTTAATACGCTTGTTATTAATTCGGTTCCTTCAACGGTAGTAAACTTGGATTATTAATGCATGCGTCTCATGGTTAATAATCTAAGGGGAATTAATTATATTGATTAAACCGATAAACCGCTTGTGTTGAGGTTATCAATCTCAATCGTTTTTATCTCAAGTTTATTGCTATTATCGTGTGAATATATGGCGCGTGTTCTATATTAACTCGGTAGTAAATTTTATTAATGAACCCGTCTCGTTATTAATAACTACCCTCGATGAACTGGATATACTCCTCGATTGAGTATTCAAGAGGAAGATAGTTAAAGATATAACCGGGATCGACGAACATTTCATTAAGTGGATAAAAGCAAAATCAAGTCCTCATCTCTATAAATTAAACTCATATAAGTCGTTCATCTTAGTGTTAATTAAATTAAATCAAATCAAACTTAAAACCCCCCTTGTTACTATTCACATAAAAGAAAAGTATTCCTTTCCCTGTGGATACGAACCTTACTTCACTATACTACGTATTAGTATTGTATTGATAAATTATTTTGAGTGCACCTCACGACAAGTGCACGTCAATGGACCTCGTCGTCCAAGTAAGTTTCATGCGCTTTGTCATTTCCGTCTGTGTTTTTTATCGTCATGAGTGTTTGCATCGTCCTAACCTTTTCATTTTTGCAGGGGGCCTTCATGCTGATGGAGAGCCACAAGAGGCAGCAACTAGAGATTGCTCAGCTGAAAGAGGTCGAGCAAAAGGCTGCCTCGGCCGAGGAGGTCATGAGCTGCTTGGACCGGCTCCGGGAGGAGGTGGCGGCCATGAAGAAGAGGGTCGATGAGGCTGATGCGGCCGATAGGGATGATGCCCTAAAGGAAAAAAATGAGGCGTTGAAAGGCTGTGAAGAAACCCTGCATCATGCAGAAGAGACCGAGAAGGCTAGAGCTGGGGCCGAGGAGGCTACTAAGAAGGCCGATGACGCTGCCATTGATAAATTCTTGGTCGAAGGCTAGAAAATGGAAGAACGTCGGGTCTGGTGCTATGAGGTGGTGGCGGCCCAGCTAGAAGACTGGGGCTAGAACTGTCCTGCCGGCCAGGAGTACTTCCAAAGGGAGATGTCGGTCTCCACAGGCGGACAGCGGATGTCGGTCAGGAGTACTTCCCGAGGGAGATGTCGGTCTCCACGACATGGGCCAACAGCGGATGCAGCGGCTGATCTACCGGAGGCTCCATAGGCGGTTTACTGAGCTCAACCTGATGAAAAGCTTCGCCGCCAAGCTGAAATTGCCCCCGAAGATGAGGGATCCGGAGGCCGACATCAAGCTCCCTGTGGAGCAGAGACAGGATCCTAAACTCAGTTCTAAAATCGGCGAGGAGGATTGGGGCGATGATGACATCTTCGTAGATACTGCCACCTCCAAGTCTGATGAAGCCGTCGGTACGTCAGTTCATGACGTCGCCGAAGAAGTCGCCTGATCTCTTTACTTTATTTTTTTGTTACGTAACGGCCGCAGTGCCTGTATATGTAAAGGCCGTTGTGCCCTCCTTTGTATTTTGAACGTCTTAATGAAAATACGTTGGCACCTATCATTAGTGTCTTCTCCATCCTTATTTGTTGTCGTTTTTCGTTTCTTTGTTTGCCTTTGCTTTCCAAATTTTTCTAAGTATCAAGCAAAAAGCTTAAGTAGTTGCTTCATGTAGTCATGGCCGATGGAAGATCTTTCCCTTTGTTCGGCTGAGGGAGAGATGTCCTCCTCGTCCTCGTACTGCTTGTTGGTTATCTCATACTTTTTGGAGATATTTCCAAGTGTTTAGCTTAGAGTATGCAATTGTCTTACTCTGGTGTAGACGATGAGGGTCGTTGGCCCTTTGTTCAGCCGTCGGGAGTTTTCCCACCTTCGGTTAAAGGAAAGTAGGTGGTTTGTTTCACCTTCGGCCTTAGGACTCTTGTCGGCTGCTCTCGATGCCAATTGGGTACTTTGAAATTTTTTTAAGTGTTGGACAGACTTAGGTAGTTATTCCCTTTAGTCGGCTAAGGGAGTTTCCCGGGATCATTTGATTTCATGCCGGCTATATGGTGCCCTCATCCGCCAAAAGAGTTTGCCTTGGAACTTTTGTCCAAGTTTTTTTTGAGTAGCCTGTGTATGAATGCGTCGTCCATACTGCAACTGTTTAACTGATATGTACTTAGTTATTGGGGATTTTATTTTTATTGCTCATTGTCGGCGAGTGCGCGGTCCGTCGGCTTCCCTCTTCTATTTTTGGGGATTTCGCTCTGGGCCGGCTGCAACACCCTGACCCAGTAGGCCCCGAGGTAGTTACTTCTGACCTCTAGTACTATCCTCACAAACCGCCACTAGCCTTTTCCGCGCACTTTGTCCTCACTCGTGCGCACCCTGAGAAACTTCCCGTGGGGTCACCCATCCCAAGACTACTCCCGTGCAAGCATGCTTAACTTTGGAGTTCTTGGCTAATGAGCTCCCTTAAAAGGAGATGCATCTTGTTGGTATGAGTAGTACTATTAATCCGTTTAAATTAAATCTCAAGTGTTACAATCACCCCCACTTAGGAACGCAACGTCCTCGTTGCGCCCATAAACCAATCTCAATCAAATCCCAGAATCTTTTCCCCCGCTAAGTGTCTGCCCAATATCCAACGGATCAGCACACTGTCGCAGGGTTGCTCTGATATCATTTGCAACACCCTGACCCAGTAGGCCCCGAGGTAGTTACTTCTGACCTCTAGTACTATCCTCACAAACCGCCACTAGCCTTTTCCGCGCACTTTGTCCTCACTCGTGCGCACCCCTGAGAAACTTCCCGAGGGGTCACCCATCCCAAGACTACTCCCGTGCAAGCACGCTTAACTTTGGAGTTCTTGGCTAATGAGCTCCCTTAAAAGGAGATGCATCTTGTTGGTATGAGTAGTACTATTAATCCGTTTAAATTAAATCTCAAGTGTTACACCGGCAAGCGCACGGACCTTCAGCTGTCCCTCTTTTATTTTTGGGGATTTCGCTCTAGGCCAGCAAGTGCACGGACCTTCGGCTGTCCCTCTTTTATTTTTGGGGATTTCGCTCTAGGCCGGTGAGTGCACAGACCTTCGGATGTCCCTCTTTTATTTTTGGGGATTTCGCTCTAGGCCGGCAAGTGCACGGACCTTCGGCTGTCCCACTCATATACTTCCTCTTTACTTCTTTGAACGATGAGTGGATATCCTTCTTTCAGGCTTCGGTCGGGGGGGAGTCGATAGTCCCTCGGCCGGTAAGGAGTCCTACTGGATCGTCCTGTGATCTCAGGGAGTTCCCGTCGCCTATTTATGACGCGGGCTAAGGCTTTTGGTCGTTCACCAACGGCTGTCGTTCCTCATCCCTGAGTTTGGGGATTTTTGTCACCTCGACCATGATTTCAGGCCTGTCGTCCTGCGATAATTGCGATTTCACGAGTGGATGACGCGGTGAGCTTCCCGTTTCAAGACGTGGGCTTAATATGTTGTAGGTCAAACAGGAAATATTCCAACGGGACGGAGGGAGTATATATTGATTATAGAAATAAAAGCAGTGTATGAATATAAATGCAATATACTTATTTTATTTAGATTTATAAATTTTTTGTTATGTAATGATAGACAATAAAAAATAGATTCAATTATTATGTGGATCAATAAAATATGCTTTTTATGTGGATTAATAAAATATAAATATATTACAATACACTTATTTTATGTGGATTAATAAAATTTTGTAATAATTTGATAAAGAAAAAAATGTAAATTTATTTATATTTTAATTAGTTAAAGATAAAGATAAGTAAAATCACAAATAAATTTTTAATATTTTGATGTTAAAGAGAAAAGAATTAAAGAAAATAGACAAGAAAAATAAAGAGAAAGAAAGTACTTACCCGGAGGAAAGAGGAAGAAGACTTCCGGAATATTGGGAAAATGGACTTTTGGAAGCAGGAAAGCAAAAACACGGCATCGTATTAGCAACCGGCATACCATGCGCATGGTACGCCGGTTGCACCGTATAATTTGCGTCCTCCGTCCCTTAAAAGTTTGACAAATTTGATGAGCACGTGGAATAATAAAGTAAAAACTGTGTGGTAGATATTTGTGTAGAGGAGAGAGAAATAACAAGAACCACATATTTATTGATTAAAAGGGAAAGTGACAAAGTTGTTGGGACAAACAAAAAAAGAAAGTTGGTAAACTTATAAGGGATGGAAGAAGTATTTAATTTATGATCAAATCGATGCGATATTCATATATGATTCGTTAACTATTCGTATTGTTAAACAAATACAAATACAATTCGAAAATAATATTCATTTCATATTCATATTCGGATTCATATTCCAAAAAATTAGATAAATATAAATACAAAATCACACTGAAAACTCTTTGGAACACCAGTGCACCAGTATTAATGTATTATAACTTTGTAACAGGGGATAATTTTGAATCTTGTGAAAGGCCCTCACGAAAGGTTTATCTGGCCAAACTGATCAAAGACCCAATATTAACAAAAGGCTTCACCCTCCGGCAGTCATCTCTGTCATCATCGAAGTGTCGAACGACTCCCTTCGCGGCTTCGCCCTCCTTCAGGCGCCAGCACTCAGCACCGCAGCACCTCCACTCCGCCAGGCGCCAGCACCGCAGCACGCCTCGTCAGTGGTCGCCTACTCGCCTTAAGCCAGTCGCCCGGTCGCCTGCACTCCGCCACTCACCCTTCGGCGGTTCGGCCAATCTTCCTTTCTCAATTTTCAGCTTCCACAGTTCCGGTATTCCTTCACTCCTATTTTATTGATTTAATTCATAGTTGTTTATAAATATTTATTTAAATTAGTGATATTGTTATTTGTTGTAACCTAAGCAAACTCTGATAGGTAACTTACTACTTTCACCTTGTTTTCTTGTAACTTTCATCAGATCTACAAATTTAGCTTTTGATGCATCATCAAATCCACTACGAAAAGTCTAAGACATCGGATCTTTATCTAAGATACCAAAACGGCAGGAAAAAATTAATGTTTCTATTTTCAGAAAACTTGTCAGTCTGCAAGGCAAAAATCACACTCCAAATATGATTATTCATTTGCTACATTTGAGTTTCCAAAACATAAATTTAAATTTAAATATAACTATTTTGTATACGTAGATGGACACATACATTTGTAGTGTTTAATTGCCACCTATTTTAGATATTGAAACATCATTTTAACCTATTAAAATGATGTAACATTAATAGTGTAATGTGGAGAATAAAACATATTAGGCCAAAACATTTTGGACGGTGAGGTAGTTCCTTGAACATATTAGTAAATATTGGGAAACTATTAAACAAATACTGTATGAACTTGATAGAATGATTGACAATGGATGATCCCTGAAAATAATCTCTCTTAGTTTGCTAGACATTTTTATCATCTTGTAGCGCACAAGGCTCATTAAAACAAATTGCCAATAGCATCTACTAGTACAAAATAGTGAATGTTTAACGATTGCAATTCAAATTTAAAATTGTAACATAGAATCACCAATGAAAATTTTTCAATCAATAATATCTTAAGTTTATTATTTTGGCTCTGATATCATGTATAGATTCATGTTAGCCGACTCCAAAATCTTTTAGGACCAAGGTTTGGATGTTGTTGTTAAGAATATCTTAAGTTTGTTATGTTGGTCCCCTAATTTTTTGATCTCATCCTTCAGATTTTTATGAATAAATAAATCATATATCTCCATGAATTAATAATTCATAAGTGCTTCCTATTAAAACAATGTAATACGAACAGGCAAGGCAAACTGGTACAAACACGTCTTACTCAGGATGTTGTTTTAAGAATGAAAATAACATTTGTATATCCCCATGCCCTAGTGTCAAAAGGACGTGCAAAAGGCCAAAGGTTCACCCGCAAGGACTTCAACCACCTATCCCAACAAACAACAATAACAAAATTAATAAAATGCTACTCCCTCCGTCCCTTGAAGGTTTGCCAAGTTTGACCGGCACGTAGAATAATAAAGTAAAAACTATGTGGTAGATATTTGTGCAGAGGAGAGAGAAATGACAGGAGCCACAAATTGATTGATTAAAATGGAAAGTGGCAAAGTTTTTGGGACAACCAAAAAAGGAAAGTTGGCAAAGTTATAAGGGACGGAGGGAGTATTATTTACTACGTGTGTTTGTATAAATATGTTCAAAACATTATTTTAAAGAAAGAGTGAGTATATAACTTCAAATTATGTAATTTTTATTATTCTATTGGAGAGACCAATTATATGATTGTTCTCAATTGTTTCTAAATGGTGAAGACAATTGGGAGTATTCAGTCAACAATGAAGGAGACAATTTTATTTTATAGTTCATCTCAATGAAGATATTTATCCTCTAATTTCTCCTATTAATATTGTTCTACATTTCCTATATATGATTGTTCTCAATTGTTTGTAAATGGCTCACTAAACTGTCTGCGCTTCTTTGTTATGGAGCAGCAGTCATTCAATGCAATTTTGGACGCGATTTTCACTATGGGTCATCCGGAAACAGTCTCTCTGTGCTTTAGTACAGGGGTAAGGCTGCGTACATCCGACCCCCCTTACCCCACCGTAGGTGGGAGCCTTTGCGGCACTGGGGTAAATGAAATGAAATGAAATGAAATTTCCTATATTTGCATACTTTTAAATCTCTTTTCTCTTAAGTACACTTCATTGGTACATCTGTCTAGTTACCACAGATGCACATTATTTATATAACATGCACACATTCACACACAGTTCTGTGGACAGTGCAGCACTAATGCAAAAAGTCAATAAATTAATCAAAAAAGTTAGCCATATAATCATACATATTGGCTCTATAATATTTCTTGCTAGTAGTGATTGTAGTAACTAGTAATCTTGGTAACTTTATCATCCACACCTGAGCAGAAGAAGGAAAACAAATCACTCAGTTCATTTGTTTCATTGTTCTTATCTTCAAACCATAATCTCCTTGCGTTTATATGTGTGTGTGTGTGTAAAATATATAGATGTGAACTAACTATTTTTCCTTGTTATAGATGCAATTTTCGACGCGATTTTCACTACGGGTCATTCGGAAACAGTCTCTCTGTGCTTTAGTACAGGGGTAAGACTGCGTACATCCGACCCCCCCTTACTCCACCGTAGGTGGGAGTCTTTGCGGCACTGGGGTAAATGAAAATGATGATTAACTGAAAAAAGTTAAGTCTTTTAAGTTTGTAAGTTTTTTAAGTATTTTAAGTTTTTAAATTTACAAAATTATTTAAATTATTTAAATTTACAAATCTGCCTGTAATTACTTTTACAGAATTGTATTTGTGTGATAGTTTATTAATTAAATATGTATTATTTTATAGTATATTCCGTAACAATGATAATATCATAATACCATATAATATATATTGTAGTGTTAGAACACTGAATTATTAACTATGTATTGCATAAAATGACAGTTTTTATTTTTAGCATTTTTAACAATTTTTTATACAACAGTTTATTACATTATTTGTTTAAATTACCATTAACAGTTTTTATATAACTTATTATTTAATTTATCACAAAATGACTATTAATTGTTTATGAAGGAAATGACGATGTTGAGCTTGCTACTCTCGATAATGAGGATGATGACAGTGATGAATTCTAGGCCTAGATTTCACAATTGTGCTTGCGAGTTTGCTACTTTGCTTTTTAATTATGTTTTCAAGTTTTAAAATTGAGTTTTGTGACTTGACTTTTGGCAATTATGCCTTTAAACATATATTTCTTGCTTCTGTCTTATTATCTTTAATGAATATTTTGTTTCTCTTATGATTTTTACAAAGATTGTTTAATAGTTTGAAGTATTTTTGAGAAGAGTGCTTCATGTAGAAGTACTAAAAATATATTTCACCAAAGAAATGTGGCTGAGATCCGTGAGGCGCGCGCCTCACCGCTTAGTGCCTCGGGTAAATCAATGAAATCGCCTCAAGCTGCCTCATGCCTTTTAAAACTAAGCTGGCAGGCTCCCGGCGGGCTGGTAGGCAAACTTCTGATTGGAATGGCAGGCCGTCTTGGACTTCCACCTTGTTGGACTTCCTTCTTTCATTGGTCGGCTGGGCCGTTCTGAATTCCTTGGTTGTTGCGCCCATTAGTCGGGCTGACCTGTTGAGACATCGGGCTTGCGCCTGCTTGTCTAGGGCCTAGATTCGCGAGTCCAACTCCATGGCTTAGTCCGATTAGGTTCTGGCCTAGCCCCATCAACCTTTATAAATAGAGACGATAAGAAAACCTCTACCAGAGACCAGAGGGGAAAAAATGTTCTAGTTAAAAGTTAAAACTTCTATTTTTATTGATGAAATCTTATTTTTTATATTTAAAGTTAAATTATACTTTCAAGATTGGTGATAAGAAAATATTTAATCTGATAAATATTTAAAAAAAAATGTGAGTTCTCAGTTATTATATTTATTTGCCGTGTTTTTAAAATTCACAATGATATAATTACAGCTCAAATGCAGAAACTTTTTAGAACTATTTGAATTATAAAAGGATCACCCCTGCAAGCCTTTGTTGCTTTGGTTCATTTTCCCGTTTACAATTTTGAATTCATTATCTGCTAAATCTATTATGCTGGATCATGTTTTAATCCCAAATTTGATCTAATGTAATATGTGAGCTGTACTAAACACCCCTAGATGGTAATCATTTGTATGATTACAAAGGAAATATATATTGATAGATTCGAAGCTGATGCTATTTGAACGAAAATTAAATAGTTTCAAGCTTGAAGCTGAAAATGAGACGACCTTCTATGTATGATGTTCAAATGGAGCCAAACTAACCCTTGTCTTGTTTTAAAAACATATTCCCTTTCTCCCATGTATTTGTCCCATTTTACCTTTTTCGTCTGTTCCACTAAATTTGTCTCATACTATATTTGGTAATATTTAAGTGGTTACAGTTTGTTATAACTTTAAAACTTTAGGGGCGAAGGAAGTAAAACTAATGAATTTGGGGCAATGATATTGAAGCTGATTTTGTTTTGTGCGAAGGAATAAAGAAAATGAAGAAGGGGATTCATCCTCAGTTGCAGTGGATATCATATGTGACCCAGAGCGGTAGATTGATGCCGGTAATGATGACCAAGATACACCAAGTAGGCAAGGTCTATCACTTCCGTGCAAGGCGTCAAATGGCTGAGAGCATTGGCCAAATTGCCAAGTTCAAGCGCCGTTATGAGAAGAAGGAAGAGGAGATCAATCATGAGAACTGATCATCATTTAGGGCTTTCCTAAAATAGAAGAAAAAGAGATCTACAATATTTCCATTGGAAGAATATATGCTACATTCCTCTGTTTCCATAATTTTACCATTGGTTTTAGTTTGAAAAACACGATTTTGGCTGCTTGGCTTTTACTATTTGAGCAAGCAGTATTATTGTTAAATAATTTGCAAGTTTTTTTTACTTTAATTTGTGAAACAGGCCCAATTATTGGCTGGAAATTGTTATGGCTAACCTAATATGACCACACTTTGTGATCAGTTCAGTAATTTGACCACGTAGTATGATTTTTATTCTCATTCTTCTTCCCTGGGGATGGACCCAACCGGGCGGGCCCGGCCCGGCCCAGGTATGTGTAGGGTGGTTCACGCTTTGAACCGGCCCGATCGGGTAGGCCGGTTCGGGCCCGGTACGTAAAAAAATATGCAACTCGTGTGTATAAATATGTAACTAGCGTGTATAAATATGTAACTTTACGTGTAAAAATATGTAACTTTACGTGTAAATATATGTAAGTCGCGTTCAGGCATGTCAAATGTAACTCGTGTGAATATATATGTAACTCGTTTATAAAAAGATGTAACTTGCTTATAAAAAGATGTAACTCGTTTATAAAAAGATGTAACTTGCTCATAAAAAGATGTAACTCAATGTATTATCAAATGTAACTGAGACCACTGATTCACTCCCAAATAGATTCAATCTTCTATTTCACAAACCTATCATCTCCCAAACAGATTCGATTTTCCTTCTAATCCAATACTCATTAATATAATAGTTCGATAATTTCTTAACATTACATAAGAAATATTGGTCTCATTTGAAAGATCATGAAAAATAAAAAATGTTGATATAAATTTTATAAAAACCGGATCAAAAATAAAAAAGTTATTATCATTTTTTACAAAAAAAGCGAAAAAAAATAGCAGCATGCTGCGTCGTTTTGCAACCGGGCGCACCATCCTCATGGTGCGCCGGTTGCACGGTATAATTTGCCTTTGAGAATCAATAAAAGGTGAGATTATTTGTTTTATATTTTTCACAAGATAAATGAAACACTAGAATAGCAAGTCATTAACTGATTAGAAACCGGTAAAAGAATATTTAAGTTACAAAAGTGAAATTATTCTGAAAAAAATAGATGAAAGATGAAGAGAAAAATAATTTAAATACCCCAAACTTTGAAGATGTGTGATGTTAGCACCTCAGACTTTCATATGTAATATTTATACCTCGAACAATATATAAAAAGTAGGGAAAAGTACGAAAATGGTACTTGTGTTTGAGCCCGTTTTCAGATAAGGATGAACTAAACCGACCCGGCGGCCGGCCCGACCCGGAACCTGCCCGGCCCGTTACTGTTTGGGCCCGAACCGGACCGGGACCGGTTGGCCGGTTCCGGGCTTTTAGCCCGTTTGGGCGGGTCGGGCGGGCCGGGCTCGGGCCCAACTTTTGGTGAACCGACCCGGGCGGTTCGGGCCTGGTTCAATTTTTTATTTTTCAATTTTTTTTGCTTTTCTAGGTTAGGGTTGGGTGTTTTGGGGGGGTTTGGGGGTGGGGGTGAAGGGGGGGGGTGTTAATTAGAAACCAAAAAAAAAATTGAACTTGACCCGGGCCCGGTCCGGTTAGGCCCGGACCCGGTATCAACCCGGGCCGGTTCCGGGCCCAACATTTTGCAAAAAAGCCCGCCCGGGCCCGGCCCGGAACCGGAACCGGACCGGCCCGGGTCCATCCCTATTTTCAGATAGGGTCATGTGTTTCATTTTTTATCAAAGTGGTTCATGTGTTTGAATTCCATTACACAAGAGGGTCACGCCGTTAAAAACGTCTGAAAAAGATCGTCAAAAGTAACTCCGATTTTCAAAAGTGCCCGAAAAATTAATAGAAAAATACCGGAAGGCATGCCTCAATAAGACGACCGCTAGGCCATCTTTCTTTTTTGCTTTCAGCCATCCTTGTCACCAAAAAGTTCATCGGAAAAGTGATATTAGCGAAATCATTTTTAAAAAATAATTCAAACGGATCTGAAAAATCCAAAGGCGAAGGTGGTTTGAAGGTCATATTGACGAGGCACACCTTTCGGTATTTTTCTTTTAATTTTTCGGGCACTTTTGAAAATCGGAGTTACTTTTAACGGTATTTTTCAGACGTTTTTAACAGCGTGACCCTCTTGTGATAACGAAATTCAAACACTAGAACTACTTTGATAAAGAATGAAACACATGACCCTATCTGAAAACAGGCCCAACCACATACATTTTCCGTACTTTTCCCTAAAAAGGAATATTAGTACCATGATATACGTTTTTTTCTTTCACGATGTAAATTTATAACGCTTTAACTACACCTCTATAAATGTTTAAGTACTTTAAATCATGGGCTTAACACTAATAAGTTTACATTTTCGAATAAAAAAATATATAATGATGGTGCGAACATAACTTTTTATGCAAAATTTGAAGTATATATATTACATATATAAGTTTGGGATGTCTATCTCACACTCATTCAAAGTTTACGTCATTTAAATTTTAAATTAGTTTCCCCAAAATGAATCGTTCATGTCAATATTTCCATTATTATTTCAGTTGTTCTTTTAATATTATTCGTTATTTTTTACAAATTTGTTTCAAGGAATGTGGCTTGCGTTTAACTGCGTAGTGCGTATCGTGTAATGAAGATTAGGCAATATACGATCTCTACAAACCACCCCCAATTCCCCAACCAAGCAATACACAATTTCAAACATCACCCAAGAAATCTTGGTAATTTTGGGCCCTCAAATTGTGAGAATACCTCCAACAACGAGCACATACAAGTGAACCAAAATATTATAGAACCAAAATAATGCATTTCAAGCGCAAATAAGAACTGGTATTCATAACAACCCATAACCTTTTAGAACTTAGGGAACCTTGCTTTTAACTACTCAATCCTCCTGCATAATATTAGTCTGCACAACTAAAAACATAACATCGTATTTACAGTAAATTACAATACTCATTTATTCAACTTTAGGTATCGTTTTACTTTACAAAGTTGCAAAATCACCAATTCCACAAAGACCTGGTCAAGAGCGAAACCAAGAAAGAATGCAAAAATAGGTTATCACACCTACAGAACACAACAAATACTGAATTTCTCAAACCAGAAGCCTAGCCCAAACTGCCAAAGGGTAGCAGCAGGTCTTTGAATACTCTTCTCGTATATACTCAGCCAAAAACCACAAAAGAGACGGGCCATAGCATGGGTGTTGAAACCTATGATACCTGAACATTGCATAGTGAAACTTGAAGCTTGAATTATGTTTTTTAGAAAGCACAACACAATACTGCCTGCTAACAGAAGAGATTCATCCAAAAATACTTGAAGCAAGAAACATATACAACATGAAGACAATCGAATATAAGATAGATTTCAATAGAGACCGATTAAAGCTCAGTTGGGAACGGAGGTCAGCTGCATGTCAAGACAAGACATAATTATTAGTGGCATGAAAAGAAAACAGATTGTAAAATTGCATCTTATAGAAATAGAACTAATAATAACTTCCCATAAGCTTCAGTGGTACCTTACCAAGTTGCGAATTCTGTAAGACAATGAGGATTACCATACCATCAGCTCAAAGACATTTTAAATTAAAAAACTCAAAAAACACTGTTAGGGGTACATATGAAATAAAGTCTCAAAAACTAACATAACAACAGTAAGAACGAAGCCCTAGATATTCATCTCTTTCTGCCACCACGTTCTCTGAGTGAAAGATTGAGTGTTTCTCCAGAAAAAACATTGTAATAGGCAAGCGACAAGTTGTCCTTGAGAAAACCAGCCTTCCCACTCAGCTTCTGCTTGTTTGAAGGAAGCTGGATCTCACCAGATATCTTCTCCTTCAAACTGCCAATAGTTTCAGACAAGGACTGCACTGAAATTTCCAATACCTGGCCTTTGAGGTTTCCCTCATCAACATTTGGTACAGTAATGCTGATACGGGCAGGTCCCTGCAAAAAAACGGAAAAGAAAACAAAACATTGTCTGTTAGCAATCACTAGACAAAATGAGAATAGAATGTAAGAAAGAAGTCAAAATAAATAGATGTACTCACCGAATGCTTGGCCAGGAACTGGTCCTCAGGAATGAGTATAGACTCATCAAGCTTTTGCCTTTTAGGCTCTGGTTCCTCTGGAAGTGGTGGAGCTTCTTCGGGCGGAGGTGGTGGAGGCATTCCATGGGGTGGCATTGGAGGTGGTGGAACCACATTCATTCCAGATTGGGACATGGGATGGGGAACAAAGGATGGTCGAGGAGGACCCATAGGTGTATATTGAGAGCCAGGTGGTAATGGTACCGAAATGTTGGGAGCACTGATGGGCATTGATGGGTGCATTGGGGGACGGTTAACCATAAGATGCTGCCCAGACATGGGTGAGTTGGTAGGGTGTGGGGGTTGCAACTGTGGGATTGTGTTAATCACAGGAGGTCTGGGAAGAGGTGGAACAATAACCCCAGGAGTACCATGAGTTGGATAGAGGTAAGTATTAGGAGCACGAGGGATGTTTAATGCCAGACCAGGTGGTGGAGGAAGTGGTCGAACTGATGGCAACCCAGGCCTGGGAGGGGGTGGTGCTTGTGGGCCCGGAAGATTCCTTGCATCATTTACAAAATCATACTGATCTTCTGCACTGTTTTGGGACAATGCCTGGCTAGCTGTTCGACCAATGCTTCCAGTGTGACCATCCCATATGACCTGTTTTGGCTCTTCCTTTTTCTTCTCAATCTCGGCCTTGACTGCATTTGACACTTCTTCTTCTGTGGTTCCAAAAATATCGGGCCGTGTCCTAGCGAGCCCAACAATGTTTCTAGAAATTTCATCATCCTGAGCAAGGGTTGTGTCCCTAATCTTCGCGAACATTCTCTCTTTCTGCTCCTTGTATTTAGGATCAATAAGAGAGATCCTCATATGCTCAGACATCTCACTGATCAGAATCATCTCCCCGGTTATAGGAGAAATGACATACTTTGTTGGGTCTCTTTCTGGAAGGGACCTCTCTTCAGGCCTTTTCCAATTTTTCACAATTCTCATGGGCGGATCATGATCCTCTGTTATTGCCTTAATTTCAGAATTCTGGACAGAGTTGTCCTCAATGGTAGTGGCTCTCATGCCTTCTTCAACGAGTTGAACCTCCTCCTCATCCATCTCCATTTCTACTTCTTTCCCTGGCTCAACAAAATCTTCCTCCTCATCCATCGATGACATCTTGCTCCTCCTGATAACCTCCTCAAGGGTCATAGGAGGGGGT